GGGGGAGAAGTGACAACAGTCACTAAGTGGTGAAAAGCGGCCCTAAGTCCCTTTTTTCCAATCCTGCCGAAGCTTCAATCGGTCACTAAATGAACTGTTGTAAGTCGAGGACCAAGGAGGGGGGGGGGGAGGAGAAGATGGGATGTAAAAGCACAGGAAGGAGGCCTAAAAGGACCCCTGGCTCCCACGGCTGTGCCCCTCCCGCCAGGTGCCCTGAGCCCCCGAGGGCCGTACCTTCTTAATGTCCCTCTTGGAGACCAGGCCCCATCCCTTCCCCTCCGTCCGGATGATCTTGGTCTCGGGGTACTGGCGCTTGGTGAAGCACTGGTTCTGGCAGCGCTCCCCGGCCGGGCACATCTGCGGGTGGCACTCGTACATCAGCATGCGGTTCAGGCACTCCGAGTCGAGGCCGCAGGGGTTCTCGTCGGAGGGCTTGCAGTTGCACTTGGGGATCTCCGAAATGTCCGCCGTGCAGATCTGGACTCTCCCAAAGGGCTTGTTGACCTGGTGCGTCAAAGAGCTGGTTACGCCCACGAGGCCCCGACCCAACCTGACTGACCCCACCCCCGCCAGCTCTCTCTGTCCCCCACTCCCTCTGCTTTTATGGCCCTCGGAGGCCTCCATGGCTCCTCAGGGGTTGCCAGGTCTTCTTTGGCCAAGATGGCCTCCACGATGGCCGGAGAGCAGCCGAGCTTCGGGTTCTACCGCCCTGGCCTGCTTCTGTTTCCCCAACAACACCCCCCCCCCCCCCGTGGGCCCACAGGAGGGTGAAATCCTGCTAATGCTGACCCAGGCAGCCTCTTCCTGCTCCTCCAGCTGGAAAGAAAAGAAGGAGTAACTGTGGGAGGCGACCCTGAGGGGCAAAAGAAACCGGGAGACGCCTGGGAATTCTAGGCAGTGGCGGTTTGGAGGAAAGCCAGCCTGGGGCCCCTCCCTCCCTCCCCCCCCCCGTCTTTGGCGTTCTTTGCTCTATGGAGGGGTGAGTTTGAGACTGCAGAGAGAACGAAAAAAAGAAATCTCTTCACAAGAAACCTCTGCTTTTTTGTAACTACACGTATACAGAAAGAGATAAAAAATACTGTTAATTCCACATAACAAACATACACGTTCCGTTAGATTGATTGAATGCTTTTTGGAGGTCAAGATGTCTAATTCCTACTGAATTAGAAGAAACCCCTCTCCTGCCACAAATATAACGGCTAAAGAGTGGCTTACTTCAAATAACCTTAGAGTTGCTCACTTCTGTTTCCCGTATGTTTTAACACCTTTATAAATCCAAATCCCTTGTTATCCGTTCAGTTTGTCAAGTATCCCTTGGGAATAGCTTACCCTTCTCCAGCACATTTTATTGAATAAATTAAGGTACACGAATTGACTAGAACAAAAGGACAATTAAAACCTTTATCTCTAAGAAATACGCCCCTGTACTTAAAAATGGCCCTTTACCCTGACGATTGACACAAGTCTTTTTCCACAGTGCCCCATCTGGGCTAAAAGTTGACCCTACCTCCGGTCCTTCACCCCATCATTGGGCCCATCATTGGACTGACTAACTTTGGGGGGGGGGGGGGGGGGGAGGTCAGAGGGAGACCAGCCCCCGTCCTTCAAAGCATCTCACCTTGATATGTTTGTAAGGGGGAGGTTTGCGTTCATTTTCTTGAGTTTCTTTGGCTTCCCGCTGAAACTTGATCTCTCGGAAGCGTGTGTCCGCGTCTTGCAAAGCTTTTAAAAAAATGTGGGTAAAATTACAACTACACATATTTCTCCTTTAAGAATAGGTCCCTGTCTCCTTAACTGCTTGGATCTGCCTCTCTGTTGTATCAATGCAACACAACATTGTAGGTTCTTGGGAAGAACGCAGCGTGTCTGAAGGCCAACACCAGCTAAAGCAGGGGTCTCCAACCTTGGCAACTTTAAGACTTGTGGACTTCAACTCCCAGAGTCCCTCAGCCAGCTGGCTGAGGAACTCTGGGAATTGAAGTCCACAAGTCTTAAAGTTACACCAGCTAAAGGACTGGCAGCTGTTGATTTCACTGGAGGCAGCCTTGACTTACGGCCGTCATGGAGCCACTGGTCTCGATTTTACAACCTTTTTTCTGTGGCGGTCACACATTTAATCGCCACGGTGGCCGATTAAACGAGCCAACCGTTTGCTGGAGGCCGAGTTTCACGGCAATGTACGGAGCGCCTGAAGTTTGGCCATGTGACACTGGGGGATCTTTGAAACTTCAAATCCAGCCCCCCCAGTAAGTCTGTTGTAACTCCCAATGGTTGCCAAACGAATGGCCACAAGTCAAGGATCACCTGCCTGTAATCGTTACAACAAAGCCTCCGACCTCACTGACCCTGCTCAGCTTTTCAGAAACCAACCCAGCTCAGCTAGGCGCCCTCACTAGGTGCAACGAAGCAAAATACTGAAGTTCCCACCTCACGGGCGAACTCCGCACGGCCACCTTCTGAGTCTGTGCGAGAGAAATCGGCCACACAGCAAGCATTGGCCTTTGGAGCGGAAAGGTGAGACATTTTACCATTTTTGAAGACTTTCCCGATTCCTTTGATGGCTTGGTACCGACTTCCCCGGTCTCCTTCCATGTAGGGGAAGACGCGAGCCTGATGGGTCCAGTAGTAGTCTTTGGAGCCAAAGAAGAACACCGGGAACTCTCCAATCTCATGCTTCATTTTCTGGATGTTTGGGGGGACATTTTTGGGATGGCAGACTTCGGCTGGCCACCACCTGCCACAGAAACAACCCAACGAAAGGAAGAAATTGAGGCTACTGTTCCTGGCTAAGTCGGTCTTCTATAGATTGTTAAGGTCTTGGGATTTGAGAGCCGACCAGCAATGAAGCTGACCAGATGTGGCTGATGCAATAAGAATGAATCAGCGTAGCATGGGTATTTCCCTTTAAGAGTGGGAATGGGCTCTATCCCTTTAAGAGGTGTTTATATAAAGGCAGCCATTAGAGGGCATGTCCTCTCTCGTGTCCGGTATTCATGGCAGAGTTCTCCATGTAGAGAAGAGGAAAGATTGCTTGTAAGGTATTTTGCCTACCATGTGTATGTCTGTATATAACTGTTGCATATAAAGCACTAGTTAAATGTCTAAGGCTCTGTGTGCTGCGTTTTGCTCCTGGGTTGTCTCATAATAGTAGCCACGCTGCAAACGCTCTGACATAAGATTTTATTAACGTATGCGCCCCTGTATCAAAGACCTTTTTACATACAAACTCCCCCTTTTCTGGGCTCCAAGGAGCACTGAGACACAATCATATAGGCCAACAAAGATTTAAAAAAATAATACTGAAATCATGTTTATAAATCCAAACCTGTAATTTCCCAGTTTGACCCAAATAATATCTTGAAAATGGATTTTCTTCCCTGCTTTGCAGTCGTTGCAAAACCAGCTCCCATCTGGCATTTCAATGTTTAAACAGTCAGGATGAAATGCAGCAGGACAAGACTCACAACATAACAGGCTCCCCCCTGTAACAAAAGGCACAAAACAACCCTCGGTGACAGGAAAACAGGGGGGGGGGGGGGCAAAGAAAGCTTTATTTTAAGCATCAAAATACTACCAGGTTTCACTCTAGGTTGATTAAAGCCCAAATCCACACCACCAAGAAGGAATTAGACAAAATTACAGCGTATGCCAGAATCTACTTTGAGAATGACAGCAGAACAAACTCTGGGAGATGGGCCTACTATCAACACCTCCTCTTGTGACCAAGAAAAGCTGGAGGCACAAAAAGCTGGAACCATGTTGGTTAAAGGTAAAGGTTCCCCTCCTTGCACATCCGTGCTAGTCGTTTCCGGCTGTAGGGGGCGCTGCTCATCTCCGTTTCAAAGCCGAAGAGCCAGCGGTCTCCGTGGTCATGTGGCCGGCAGGACTAAACGCCTTTGAAGGCGCACGGAACGCTGTTCCCTTCCCACCAAAGGGCTCCCTATTTTTCTACTTGAATTTTTTGTAGATGCTTTCGAACTGCCAGGTTGGCAGAAGCTGGGACAAATAACAGGAGCTCACTCTGTTACGCGGCGCTTTGTAGTTATAAAATAATTCTTCCCATTCTTACATTTTAGACATTCAAATTTTTCCACTTCCATTCAGAACCAAAATCAGTTTTTTAAAAAATGCTCTTGCAACACACAGAAGAAATAAAAGGGCTTTAGACTTTTCATAAAAAGCCTGAGCAGCCACAACAAAATCCCCTTATCCACCATGGAAGATCCCTCCGCAGCCCGGAAGAACCGTTTCTATAAAACGAAGTCCGTTGTTTACCTTTTGAGCAGACAAAACACCAGCTGACGTTTACGTGGCCATGGTGGCTTTTCCCTTTGGTGGCAGTAAAGTGGTTGGTACACACAATGCTACTGGAGGAAAGCATGGCACAACCAGCAGCCACACAATTGTCACCCACATGGTAAGCCACCGGACAGCGAACACACCGTATCATTTTGCCTGGTACAGGAAGAAAAACGCACACAACATTTTTGTCACAATATATTTGCAAAAATGCTTAGGAACTTTAAAAACAACAACCCGTAACTAGCTAATGGATTATGGCAGCAGTTCTCAGGCACTTGAGAACTTTGAGGTGGGTGGACTTCAACTCCCAGAATTCCCCAGCCAGCTGCGGAGTCAAAGTCTGCTGTGCCAGCTAGGCCAGGGAATTCTGGGAGTTGAAGTCCACCCACTTCAAAGTTCTCAAGTCGTTGAGGAACGTTGGATTACGGCACGAGCTTTCATGAGCTACTCTCCGAAATAAAGGCAAGTGCCCTTGGACACAAAATGAGGCACCTGGACACAAAATGAGGCTTTATGTGGGGAATCTCCAAAGGCAGAGACAAGAGGAAGCGCTGACGGAGGAAATATCTGTAAAATGGACATTCAGACATGAGTCAAACTTTCCAAAACGGAAACACACCAAACTCCAATCCCCTAATTGGACTGGAGGATAAAATGGGGCAAAGACTCACAATAGCTGTGCTCTGACCTAAGGCTTCCTGAGACAGTCACAATCACACGCTGTTCCCAAAAACCTTTTTTTAAAATTATTACAACGGCTGTGAATTCTAGCATTCACAGCCCATAATGAGTCCCATACAGTTTGTGAACAGTCCCACAGAAGTCTGCCCAAGTCCTTCTGGATAAGGCTGACAAGCACCCACCTTTATCTCCCTTGAAATGCTGCCAACAACTAAACTGCCCATTCACTGTACTACAAGGCCAAATGGAGCACAAAGTCCACACGGAGTTTCAGAGTTTAAACAGACCAGAACGAACAAAGTTTCTTCCTGCAAAGGCTCCTGTCCCTTTGCTCCTCCTTTATGTCTTATGGGAAAAGCAATCACCTCCGAGCCTTACTCCCAAATCTCCTCTTTTGTCTTTTCTTGCCTTCTGGCAGCTCTGTGCATACGCACACTGGGAACAGGCTCCCCCTGTTCCTCTGCCTCACTGATGTCAGATTCTGGAGGCTCCGGAGTCAGCACGTAACTCCCAGATGGCCCTGGCCCCATCTTTGTGTAGTATGCAGATCCCTCGTCCGAGCCCTCCCCAGACTGCAGGACTGGCCCACGGTCCTCCCCTCTGTCCAATTCTGCTGCCAGCTCTGCAGGCCGCCAACGGACCACAACAAGCTGCCTCACTTAGCAACAGAAATGTTGTGCTTAATTGTGGTCGTACGTTGAGGACTCCCTGTATTCACGAGAGGTGAGGCAGCACCTCTTCGGGCTGCCGTGAGCTCTCAAGTAACCATCGGCAACCTCTGAGGGCGAACTATGGGGGCAACAAGACGAGATTTGGAGGAAAGGGAGGGGAGGGAAAGAAAGGAAATACCTTTAGATACTTTGGGGTTTGAGGGATTCGCAACGTGGCAACTCTCGCAGCTGTGCAAAGGGCACCGGAAGCCCCGGTTCTCAAAAATGGTGAGGGGGAATTTTTTCACACAGGCTTCATGGTAAAACTTCCCACAGTGAGAGACGATGCAGCGCTTAATTTCCGATTGCTTCTCCTTGCACACGAAACACGTGTGAATACCTAAAGGAACATTTAAAACAACCCTGAAGTGTTTCTCACGAATAGAAGGGAACCAGGTTCATTTTTAACTGGAGCTAGAGTTGGTATTAAAGGAGCTCATTTTTTTTCTTTCAAAAATATCCTTTTTCGCAGGCTTTCCTTTGCGAGCCTGTCTTTCAGCATTAAATGTCTACATTTGTCGATCTCTTTTTAGGGAGCAGTAAGGAAATTTGGGGAAAACGGAATGGGGGCTGTAGCGCACAGGGTGGGTCCAACTATTCCCATCAGGAAACAGGCTGCCATTTTATTCTTGGGAGGCCAGGGGTCGCCCAGTGACCTCCAGCCCCGCTCAGGCAACGATGGATGGATAACAGATCCGAAGGTCTCTGTAGCTCCATTAATGAACCGAGAATGCTCTAATCCAGGGATCTCCAACCTGGGCCACTTTTAAGGCTCGTGGACTTCAATTCCCAGAATTCTTCAGCCAGCTGGCTGGGGAACTCTGGGAGTTGAAGTCCATGCGTCTTAAAAGTGGCCCAGGTTGGAGAGCCCTGCATCTAATCTGCCTCCAGGATTAATCACCCCGTTCTTGGATCTGGCAGAATCCTTAAGGCTTTCGCCTCACAGGTAGTCCTTGAGTTGCAACGGGTTGCTTAAGAACCCTTCGTAGCGCCCAAGCTTTCTTTGTGTGACTGTGGGGGTGGGGGAGCACCGCAGTGATCCCCATCTTTGAAACCAGGGCATCGATAGGTTTTTGGGGGCTCACTGCAAAGTCACACCGGTCGTAAGTCAAGGACCACCTGTACAAAACAAAGGCATAAGGAACCTTCTCTTTCTGGGCCAGGTAGGCAGGGAAATACAGGCGCATTACCACTGCCTTTATTTTCTCGGCATATAGCCTTCTAGCGTTTCCTTTTGGGAATGAGGCGCCTGGAGGACGAGATCCGAGGCGCAACCGTTATGCACCGGAAGCGCGCAAAACATAGCCGATCCCTCCCGGAAGACGACTTGCCTGAAGTGCACTCGTCGCACACAAACTGTCCTTTGGGCCTTCCAGACAGGCCGCTGCAGCTGGCATGGAAAGCCCCCAGACAACGTCCTTCACACAGCATCACTTCCCCGGGCTTCTCACAGACCTTGAGGAGAGAAAACGTAAACCTGACAAGGCGTAGAGAGCACGGGTCAACGGCGCCTCCTCTCCCTTGAGGCTGCCACCGTTTTAAAGGTAAGGGGCTCCTAATGTCAACTCATAAAATATTTCTAGGGTCTTTTTAGAATTGCCAACAGAAAGGGGGGAAAGGGGTTTGCTTGGAAACCGAAAGTGCATTCCATAAATAGCTTTTCAAAGGTGACCGAAGTTTCTGCCGCGCAAAATTCTAACTGGGGAGCCTGATTGATGACTCTGGGCTATGGAGGTGTCCCATTGGAGAATATGAATTACGATACACCCAGGGGTGGGGAAAAACCAGGGTGACAATGAATGAATGATGTGCTTCAGAGTCGCCTACACCCAGGCAGTGCCGGACATGTTAACTCCCAATAAATCTTCTTTAAATTCTGAAAGTTGGCTAGAGACTCATGATTTAAATGGGGGTAACTGCTGGAGCCCTGACACCTTTTTAAAAAAATTAATTAAATTAAATTAAATTAATCGAGCAAAGGCCCACTTTCAAAGTGTATGTCAAAGGACATCCGTGACAGCCACAGGGCTGGTTTGAACTGGGAGCTTCCACGGAGGGTGGACATTTGTGGCTTATTGCAGTGAAGAAAAGAAACATCTGCAGACTCTTTTGGTACAGGGAGTCCAATAGAGATTTCAACCTACTTGTTCGTGTTAAATTTTCAGATGTACAAACAAGAACGTGCCTTGACAAGCATCGTCTGCTATCAAGTCAAGTGTTGACTCTTAATGAGCATGATAAGATACATTTCCCCTCGCAGGATAATCTCTCCCTAACCGGGTCTTTCTAAGAGTTCTTGGAGAGAGAATTCCCTTGACCCTTCCTTTCTTACCTGACACAGGTACTCCTTCCTGGCTGTGGCCCCTCGGTCAGCCTTCTTGGACAGCTGGGAGACCTCTCCAAGACCCTCGTCAGCACTTTCATAGGGCGACTCCGACCTTTCATCTCCTGGACCATCTGAAATCTAAACACCACAGGACAGATTTAAGAGCTTCTGGGCTTCTGTGCAAAAGAAACCCCTTCATGATTCATTAACCCCTTCAGCTCTCCAGGAGTGGCTGAACTACACATCTCAGCGTCCCCCACGAAATCCTGCAGGATGGAGCCCTTAGATTTCCTTTTCAGCAACACCCCAAACTGTCCCCCACCAGCTTTCATTTCAGCGGCTGAATTAATTCCAACATGGGTAATTCCCAGAGAACAGGCTGCTTACTCGTGTGCCAACCAGGAATTCACACCTGTGACACCTATGTCTGACCAGAAGCTCTTCCTGGGACCTATCAGAGGGGACACTTTGGCAAGAAGGAAGCCCTGGCTTGGCCCGGGGCCTGATCACAGTGATTGATTTTCCCTCAGTTTCCCCAACAGGTGGCAGTTCTGGAAGGTGAGCACTCAACAAACCGAGAATCTGAAGGTGAGCATGCAGAGACGACCATTCGGAAAGGCCACAGGTAAACAAGCTGGTCTTCGGTGTGAGATTGGCTGGCGTCCCTGTTTGTTTGCTACAGGGGAATTAACCAATTCAGCCGGGAGGCAGGTCAATGCACTGTTAACTGAGGAGAGGATAGCACAGCTCCGCCAAAGAACACGTGTGTGTGTGCAGGTTGACCTAAGTGTGTGAACATGTTGCATGAACATTTGCTGGCTAGTGCAAGAGTGTTCAGATCAAGTCAACCCATAAGACTGTGGCCCACTCTGAAGGAAAGGCTTAGCTCGTAGAGACCTGGAGCCCGTTGGGGAATCTTTGCATTGAAATCCACTTTTTCTGTCCCCATCATAGGAAACCTGCGAGAATGACCGAATGCCATTATCAGTGACAGGAACCCGAACACTGGCTAAACAGTAGTCACTGCACACCAGCTGTGCGTAGAGGGCAAAAGGGAAGATATAAGAGGCGCCAGTTCATGGGTTGTTCTGAAGATGCTTTGTTAGCAAGACACGTGGTTAGAGAGAGGTCTAAGGAGATTCTCAGTCATCAAAGTTGTGGTTGTCCCAAAAGTGGTTTTTCAAAAGGAAACTCGACTTTGTTTTTCCGTGAAGAAGTTTCACTTCTCATCCAAGAAGTTTCTTGGGTGAGAAGTGAGACGTCTTCAAGGGAAAACCAAGAAAGTCCAGTTGCCTTTTGGGGAAAAAAGCCCCTTTGGGGCCTGGTTAGAGAATTATCTTATTGTGTCTGGAAAAAAGTGAAAGAGTTCTGCACACAACATCTGCCCGTCCTCCTTGGATGGAAAAAGAGTGTTTCACTTAAGAACAGAAAACTAAACAGCTTCCGTGAGTACGTACTGTGCAGCGATTGTCACTGGGCAACAGTGCAGATCTTTTACTCGGAGGAGAAACTGAAATACAGTTAATCATTTTACACGGGAAAAGCAGGACCAGCACTCTGGAAAAATACCTGGACACGTCCAGTGTTTTTAGTAGGACTCGCCTGATGGACTAGAGGCCATTGTTTCTCAACCTTTTCTTCCCCATGGACCCCTTCAAATCCCTTTTGCGGACCCCAAGACTTCACTCCAGATTTGAATCCTAACATTTCTTCCAGCCTTCACAGACCTCCTGTGAGGAGATCAGGGTCCCCCGGGGGCCTAGTCTCAGGACCAGGCCGCCCTAGCTACTGTGGGATGAAGGGAGTTGAGCTTTGCCTGGAGGACCTGCGGCTCCCTCCTCCTGAAAGGCCCAGGCACCTGCCTTTGGAGAGGAAAAGGAGAGCAGCACACCTGGGCAGCCCTGCTGGGATCATCCATACGGCCCCCTGGGTTCATGGAGGGCACACGGAGGGAAGGCATGCGGCCGACACAGTGGCGGTTCTCCGTCAACGAGCTCAGGTCCCGTGGACGAACTTAGTCTCATCAAGTCACGGGCTGCTCCGGTCCCGTCTCTTCCCCTCCTCTGAGCAAGGACCACGGTGCTCTGGCTCCTCCGCGGTTCCATGACGGGCTCTTCTGCTGGCCAGGGCTCCCACAAAGGCCGTGCAACCGAGGCTCTTAGGGAGAGCGCCCGGAGGGCCCCACGCCCCTTGCAGGCCGCCTCACTCCGCTGGCCTGGATTCTGCAGGAGCTCCTCTGAACGGATCCACGGTTGGCTGCGGGGCAGTTTTTGCAGTCAAGTGGCAAGAGCCGCTTCCACTCTGGGCCATCAGTAACGTTTTCGGTTTCCGTTGTGAATTTCTAACGGTCACTAAGCAAGTCGAGGCCTGCCTGCCTGCCCCCTTCCCCACCAATCAGGTCTTTATTGATCGCTGCATTTTCTCTTGGACGATGGGATGGAAAAGGATCCTAGCAGGAACGGATTTATGCACTTTGGTCAACTGTCCCGTTGGCCTCATCCAGGTTTATTACCAATGGTCATCCAGAAGCGGAGAGCTGATTCATGCTAACCAGATTGTACGATCTTTTTATGGCGGTCATTAAGTGAGCGTCACAGTTAAGGGAAGCCATTGTTTATTATGGGGAGGATTTGTTTTTGTTTTTTGTTTGCTGGAAACGGGAAATAAACTCAGCAAAACATTTTTTCCAGCAAAAACGTAGTCAATTGTGGCCACCTAAGAGAAGGAGACTGCAAACGGCCGTAAAAGGGGGGGGGGGAGGGGAGACAGTTGCCCACGTGGCTGGGGCAGAGGAGGGCAGCCATCAGGATGCCAAATCCAGGTTGCAAACACCTTTTTTCGGGGGTTTGTTGTAACGTTGAGTGGTTGCTAAGCAACCGCTGAGGCCTGCCTACAGAACTGCACTTGCGTTGCTCTGAGTTTTGAGGTGGCCGAACACAAAAGATAGGCCCCAGGTGAGCCTGTGGGGCTCTGAAGGACGGACAAGGCTCCCTTGCATCAGAGGGAGACCTTCGGCTAACAGGAGGTTTTAAGGGTGCGGCCTGCACGCCCCAAAACCCCCTCCCCCCCCTTCCTCCTTCCTCCCTTCGAATCCTGCACAGGCTCCATTGCATTTTAGGAGAGAGGAAAATCTCCATCACCAGGAAAATGGGCTTTTCCTCTCGTTTATACTGCTTGTGACCTGAACTGTGTCAACAGAGCCTGCTTAGCTTCTCTGTGTTTTCTGTTTTTTGACAGAAGCGCTTCTTCTCCCGAAAGCGTTGTAAGAAAAGCTTTGGTTGAAATGTTTGGGATCAAGCATCTTTTGGGGAGCCCGAAGACGTCCCAGCCAGCACCACAAATTTAGAGTTGGCACCTAAGAGAGTCGGATGGCTCGTCTCCCTGGTCCATTCCACACGTGAGATACTTGTAGCAAACCGCTTCTCTTGGCACACCAACTCGAGTCCTCACGATGATACGGGGAACCCAAATTCAGGAAAGCCGGAGCGAGCTCATCCGACCTCAGTGAAGAGCCACAGCTGAGTTCCCACCAGCTTTTCTTCCTTTTTCTCCCCCTGGCAGAGATAAACTTACCACGCTGTATTTCAAGAGAAAGGTGTTTACAAACCCCATTAGCCTTGTTTCAACCGTTATTTCTTCCCATCGTTTAAAGAAAGCAAATTTAAATCGCTTGCATCTTTTTTTAATCTGTCTTCCACTGTTCATTTGCACTTTACCTCATTCTCAGTTAAGGACGCGGAAGGAGATGAACTTTTGCTATAAGGGAGATGCGAAGAATCTGAGGCCCGGTTTCGCTTCTTCAGTGGCTTACAGGCATCGGAGAGACCTGTCGTGGGGGTAAAATAATTGTGGTTTACAAAGAGAGCTTAAGAGTCCCTGGGCCTCCTTTCCTTGAGGTCAGAAGCCAACATCACCTGACTGAGGAATGGAGAATCTGCAATACTCTTTTGAGATCCTCACAGGGCGGAATCAGAAATATAAATAGAGAAGCAAATAGAGGCACAATTAAGAATAGTTAAGGAACAATGCATGTAGCTTGTTTGCAATCTAGCATTCCATGGGTATCCCCACCTTTTCCTAAAGACATGGATGGATTTGGTCAATAATTTGTTATTGAAGTAGTAGATTTGCAAGTTTTTTTTTTAAATATGGGGACTAATACTACTATCTATCCATCTCTGTCTGTCTATCTATCTATCTCTATCCGTCTGTCTCTGTTTATGTCTGTCTATGTATCCATCCTCTGTCTACGTCAGTCTTTCTATCATCCATCCATCCATTCATCTCTATTTTCATTTGTCTGTCTATATCATCTATCAATCAAATCTTTCCTTCTCTCATCTATCTACCGTTTCTATGAAAATAGGACCTACCCTGAAAGTAAGTCCAGCTTGATTTTTTATACGAGCGCCCAATATAAGCCCTACCCTCAAAATAAGCCCTAATTAAGATCCCGCCCACTCCAGAGTGGACGGGTAAAAATTAAGCTAGGGTGGGGATGGAGGGTGGTGGAGCTGCCCTACTACTTCCCTTTGGACAGGTGTAGCCAGGCCTTGCATCTCCCGACACCTGCCTTGCCGGCCCATTTCTTGAAGGCCTCTGTAGCTGACTAGAAAGCTCTGGATCGATCCAGAACTCTGTCCTCGGCTGCAGAGGACTTCAGGAAAGCCTTGCCGGCTGCAGAAGAAGTTCCTGAAGGCCTCTGACAGCGAAAAGGAGGCCGGGTACGATGCGCACAAGTGAGGTGAGTCAGTAGATGGCCTCCCCCCAAAATAAGACCTGGTGCCTTTTTTGGTGGCAAAAAAAATAAAATAAAAAAAATAAGGCAGGGTCATCTATCTATATCTACCTATCATCTATCTACCTATCATCCATCCATCTATTTATCTATTTATCTATCTATCTATCTATCTATCTATCTATCTATCTATCTATCTATCATCTATCATCTATCTATCCTATCTAATCAATCAATCAATCAAATCTCTCCCACCCACCCATCATCTGTCTCTGTCCATCTAGCTACAGAAGAGAATCCCACTCCCCAATTCTAAGAATCCCGCGGGGTTTTCCCATCCCTTCCTGACCAGTTCTCTAAATGTGCTTCGGGGGAGCCAGAGACTCTCTCCGCGTAAACCTTTGAGTGGGTGAGGGGAGGCTAAAGAGGGAGAAAGGGATCACAATTCAGGACCCCCGCCTTCAACAAATAAAAGGCGTGTCCTGCTTCTCAAGCTTACAGCCATATTTGACCGGTGCCACGTTCTCACGTCCCCAAATTTCAGCAGCCACTTTAAACAAAGGAGCGGAGAACCTTTTTAACGCAAGAAGACGCACCCCCCGCTTCTTCTGACTCCATTACCTGGCTGCTTCTTTTGTGAGGTTTCTGTGACTTTAGTGGAGTTTGTTTTCGCTGTTTTGTCATTGCTCCTTTCCCTCTGTTATAAAAAATGGGGGGAAAAGGGAGAGAAAATGAAAAAAAAAAAAAAAAAGAGCCCTCCTAATTTAGAGAAATCGAAAAGAAATAACAGAAGAAAATAACCACCTCATTGAAACAGACTCTAAATAAAAATACGATCTAATAAAACAGACATTTAATTTTAAAATAGTGTGTCTAAAGTTAGGACTTTTAAGACTTCTGTGATAGGACTAATTAGAACTTTCATTTAAAATTCCGGATAAATATCTTTTTCTGAACCTAATGTTTAGTTAGTGGATTGGGTGTAAGTTTGGAAAAAACAGGTTACTAAGCAAATGTTAGTTTTCCTTGAAGGTTTAAAACGAATTTATTAGCAGCACCTCCAATTGATAAAGGACTTACGATTTGTACGTACAGGTAGCCTTTGACTTACAACCGACCCTTCAGAGTTAGGGCACTTCCGGCTGTCAAAATGTCACGCCTCACCCTACCAGACCCGTGGCTGCATTTTGGCTGCTAGGCAACCAGCTCACATTTACGACCCGTTGCAGCATTCTGGGGTCAGGAGGCTGTCGGTTGTAAAATCGGGTCTGGTCACACTTACAACTGAAATTCTGTTCCCAATGGAGTTGTAGGTCGAGGACTGCCTGTACAAGGGTAGAGTTGCTATCAAAGCTTCCTATGAAGATGGCTGGAAAAGGGTCTTCTTTTTTTTTAACCCTATCGAGTTCATAGATGCGCAGGGACAGGTAGCTTACCTGTAAAATCAGTTCCTCAAGTCACCTTCTGTACAGAACAACCCAAATCTGTGACATCTAGGGAGCTTCTCAGTCAACCAGGCCACGGTTGTCCCAAAGGGGCTTTTCCAAGAGGCAACTGGACTTCCTTGAAGACGCTTCACTTCTCATGCAAGAAGCTTCTTCAGTTCTGACTGGGTGGTTTCATTCCCTACCATCCAGTCAGAACTGAAGAAGCTTCTTGGACGAGAAGCAAAACGTCTTCAAGGAAAAACCACAAAGTCCAGTTGCCCCTTGTGACTAAATCTGTGAGCTAACCCAGTGTCCCTGACAAATTATCTCATTTCTCTGGCTTTGTGAAAGGATACAAGGAAAGGTGTACTAGGAGAATGTGGGTTAGTTGGGGCGGCTACTCAACAGTTGCAACAATTGTTAAGAAATCCTGCTTAATACCTGCTGGGATCCCTGAGTGATGCAAGGGATGGACAGGCCGGCTTTGCATTTCTTCCCATGGATTAAGATGAATGCACGAAAGGGAAGCTACAATCTACTCAGGAAATCATTAAAATTGAGCACCAAACGGGGAGGTTGCAACTGTTTTATCATCTTTAAGACCTAACGTTCATGTTTCGTTTAACAACAATGGACACACCTTCCCTGTCTATCATACGGCAAAGTTGTAAGAAAAAGAAAAAACACAACGTTTTAAAGGGCTAATAATGCTGCATTCAAGTGAGATTTGAGTTTTCATTTCGAATTCTGCTGGATCTTTAACATTTCTGGATGCATGCATTGTTGCTTCCACACCCGTTCATCAATTTGTTTGACCCTGCATGTGTGAAGTGTTGGATGCAAATATACAATTCAAGATAGAAAAAAAAAATGACTGGCCATCTATAAAAAATACAGCTGAAAAGGCATTTAAAAAAAATCCCACAGATTCCGCGAGGCAGTTGCTTTTCTGTCTTAGTTGTTCACTTGCACCTCCACTATCATTATGGAAGAAAGATTCAGAGAAGAGACCCACAAATGCAAGATACGAAATCAAATATGTTTTTACGCCCACTGTACATAGTTCGATGTTTTAAAAGGAGCTCTCTGGTTAACCATTCATTTAATGGGTCAGTCCCTCCATTGGTCACTCCATCCAATTAAATCACCCACTCCAGTGAAGCAGAGTGCTATTTTGACAGAACGAAGTCAAACAATCACACTGGTTGCCACCATTCATGGCACACACCCAAATAAGCCAAGAACATAATTACCTTCTGATAATTCTTCTTATCCATTCTCAGCCTTTTTCTAGATGCTTCTTGAACTTCAAAATCTTCTGTGGGTTTCCTTGTCCTCTTTACAGGTTTCCTTTTATTTCCATATAAGTTACCTTGGAGTAGGGATGGGGAAACTTACATGAAAACAGTCTGAGGCTCATTTAGAAATTATCTCGAACCAAAGCAGTTACGTTACTGTTCTAAAACAGCTGGATCATGTTTATTAACCCTAGACATCTTGTGACTCCCAACGTCTCTTATTAAAACTAGCTTTGCGATACACACCTACCAGAGCTGACCTTACATACAAAAACATCCTACACCTATCTGTACATTTCATATTAATTTCTCATTTTAGTTTATAACCAGTAGTTTTGCTTTTGAAGTAACTTTTTAAAAGAAGCACGCTAATGCTGTATAAAGCAATTATCCCATTTCCTGAGAATATTATGTGATAGAACATCAACCTAAGGCTGGGAAAATATAAAGCAATATATGTGTTAAGTGAATTTGTTTTATATAAAGACCAAGGAGGGGAGAAACATTTTAGATAAGAACCGTGAAAAAAAGATTTTTAAGTACCTTGCATATTTATACCTGAAACCAGCGGGTCCGAGTAAAACCCATTTGAAATAATAATAAAGTTCCATGTTACAAACTTTAAGACAGATTATCACAATTAGTTTATATAACCTATTTCACTAATTCTCCTTTGTATGTAAAGATTCTATTCTCTATCCCCGAAATTTCCTATTCAAGTATAACGTAACTTTCTAATTAAATCTTGATTAAAAATCAAGATTCTTCTGCTGGCAATTAAATTTTCTAGCCTCAAAACAGATCTTGCTATCCTATAACACGTTTCTTTTCAAAATGTGTGTGGATAACTGTTCGTTTCCACGTGCCAATCAATGGTGAAGTTTAAGTTCAATGGGAGAAGCTATGACGTAGGCCAAGATTTTGACATAAACTATATCGACATGCAAAAACGGTCTTTCACGGATCCCTAAATGTGCCCCCGAGCCTGAAGGTCATCTTATATCGGTGTAACAAACTGAGGAAGCAAGAGGCATTTTAATTGGATCGTAAGAAGAAACTACCATAAAGCTGGACAGGATTTTGTACTACAGCACTCAAATATTTAATTCAAGATCCATAAAAACGCTAAAACTGAAGGAGCACAACATTTGAGAAAAAGATATATTATTGAGCAGTTACATGAAAGGCACACTTAAGTAAGGGTTACTTAGTTTAAAATCAATATTACACAGCACAAATTTAAATTACTTCTGGATCTTGATCTTCGTTTACGTGATCCTGTAAAGACTTTACGAATGGCCTTGCTCAAACTCCTTGGGGCTGAACCTTGAGAGATACAGAATGTTGTGTAGTCTTGTTTGTTTGCTTTTAAAACCGACACCCACATATTTTATACATTGAGACAAAGCATTCAACTTTCCCCACAAGTTGTCATTTCACACACAAATAACAAAACTGACTATAATTTTAATACATATTGTCCAAAATTGAGAAACCTTCCCAACACACTCTCATTCTTCCCACCTTCCCAAAGCAGCAACCTAATATCTTAAAGTTTCTGTCACAGTCCAATGATGTTATACAGACTATAATATTAATACTGAGAAACAAAAATATGGCTTTTTTTTTTGTGTGTGTGTGTGTGCACGCCTTTGGGCACATCCACCCTTCCAAACCTGTAGCTCATCAGGATATTTAGCTAAATGCTTTGTGAGGAGGGAGATCTGGCCAGACTCCTGCAGTCTAGCCATGTCCCCCAGCACTACCTCCACCCACGGGCAGCCCTGGAAACATTTTAAGCGTTGGGTGTTTTTGCACATCCACAGATCTCAAGGATTGCAAACCCAGGGACACCGATTCAGCCTCCACTTCAACATCAAAGGCAGGAGTTACGCTTAGAGCGAATGTTTCAAATTTAAAGATTCTAGCTCTTAAATTTCTTTCCAGTCTCCGTAATTCTCATTTCGTCGACAGCGATACAGGCGGCGGCTGCTGCTTAGAGACAGGAGGGGAACGAGACACCAGAATATCTACAATAGATTTACACAGAGCGACTTCGCAGAACAATGACCAAGAAATGTAGACGTGATCGACTTTTCTGATTTAAATTTAAAAAGGAAAAAAAAAGGAAAAAAAAAAAAAGAAAAAAAAAGGAAGAAGAAAGGACTGCATTCACTGCTTTCTCAGCACAACATCCCAAAAATTAGAAAGGGAGACAGTGAAAGCTGATCTTCCCTACAGGCTGTGAACCATGTGCTTAATTAAACATGACTACGTCTATTAAATTTTTTAGTTAGAGTATACTAGCACAGTTTTACGTTTACCAGTGTCTTCTTCACATTTGGGAGAGGTCACTATGGCAAATTTTGTGTTATAGCGTGTTTTCTGTTTTTCACTAAGCATGTTCCACTGTGACTCCAGCAGCTCTTCGATCTCGTCGCACGAGGCCTCGGGGTGCTCGGCCACCACCTGGGCGGGAGAGACAGGAATGAAAGAGGGAAAAGGACCCCCACTCCCAGCTTCCCCCACCCCCCAAAAAATCTCAAAAATCCCTCTTGAGAAGGTTTCCCTGCCCCCTCCAATTTATTAGTTTAACTTTTAAAACTTTGTCAGATCACGGACATGTCCCAAGGGTGGTTTTTCAAAAGGTAGCAGGATTGGGTTTTTTCCCCCCCCCCCCTTTGTGGCTCCCAGGAAGCGAAGCGTCTTCAAGGGTGAAAACCAAAAACACCCGAGGAAGTCCAGCTGCCTTTTGAAAAATCTCCAGAGTTTAGTTTAGTTTCCTTTATTGTCCTTGCGCCTCATAGAGCGAAATTAAACACCATCTTCAGTACATGTCATGACCATGAAAATAAACACAAACACACCTCCTTTGCATTCTATACAATTGAATGGAAAACCCCTGATATTGCATGAATATTGCACTAGACAGTAGAATTCAGTAGAGTTCCTGCCCTGGGATAGAAGCTCTTTTTCAACCTGTTTGTCCTTGTTTTTATTATTGTCCTGTACCGTCTGCCAGGTGGTAATAGTTCAAAAAAAAAAAAAAAAAGGATGCCCAGGATGAGACGGATCTTTGAGGGTGTTTTGAACTTTCTTAAGGCAGCGGGAGCTCTAAAGCTCTTCCAAAGAGGGGAGAGGGCAGCCCAGGATCCTCTGAGGGGCAATGATGTTAACCCTCTGGAGTGATGTCCTACCTGCCGCTGTGCAAGAGGCAAACCACACACAGGTGTGCAGTCAGTTAAGACCTAAAAGGTGGACGTGCATTTATCCCATGCAGGTAGAAACTCAACTTGCCAATGCACAGTGCAGGCTAATCCTTCAGGTACCACCGCAACTGAGCCCAAAACTTATGTCAAGCCAAGTGAAATATTTGTTAAGTGAGTTTTGCCCCATTTTATGACCTGTCTTGCCACAGTTGTTAAGGGAATCGCTGCAGTTGTTAAATTAGAAACACAGTTAAGTGGGACACGCAGCCATCGTAAATATGAGTCAGTTGCCAGGCACCTGAATTTTGATCACACGACCAAGGGGGATGCCGCATCGGTCGTAAGTGTGAAAAACGGTCACAAGTCACTTTTTTCAGTGACATCGTAGCATTGAACAGGCACTAAATTAACTGTTGTTAAGTCGAGGACTCCCTGCACCTAAGTGAGACAAATGGTCTATTTTTAAAGTTTTCTCCAAGCCTTTTTCTTTCTTTAAAAAAAAACCTCTTCTGATTCTGCTGCAGGACCCAGATCTTAAAAGGCCCCGTGCAGAAGAGGAATGGGAAGGGGGGGTTTCAGGTGTGCCAATACGACGTCATGCGAAAACCCCTGCAACTGGCAGATAAACACACATAACACAGGTGGCCCCGATTTATGACTGCTCATTTAGTGGCCGTTTGAACTTACCACAGCCCACCCCAGGGGTACTTATGACCCAGCATGCAACAAAATTTCATTTTAATTTATGCCGATTAGCGTACATTTAAAGTGACAATAAAGCTATTCTATTCCATTCCTAATTCATATATTATTCTATTCTATTCTATTCTATTCTATTCTATTCTATTCTATTCTATTCTATTCTATCCTATCCTATCCTATTCTAATTCCATTCCATTCTTTCCTACTCTATTCTTATTTTCTTGGGCTTAGTTTTTGGGAAGGAAAATAAGGGACGGGGGAGGAATTCTGCCTCTGCCTCCCAGCATCTATCAGTATTCATCTGGCTAGTGTCCTGTCAGTGTGCGACAGAGTTGATGGCTGTTCGGAAACTGAAACAGTATTTGCTGTGGGAGCACAAAGGAGACAGCAAGGAGCCTGGGCATGGCTTAGCTCAACTGTTCTGTGCTGAAGGTGCTTGGTGCTGTGAAACTGAATCTCCTCTCCTCTGCTTGTGTTTTGCATTTGGAAGAGATTTCTTTTCAGGTGGGGAGGGGGAGTAGAACTCCTTAGCATCAGAGCGTGTTAATAATAATACTATAGGAAATACTCTAAATGCTCTGAGGGTCATTTATCAAAATCCTTTCTTAGTGAGCCCCTAGAAGCCAAGAGGAAGATACGGGCCAAATTTCAAGTATGTAGGCTTTACAGTTCTGGAGATTTTGTGATGATGCGTGAGGGGCCTTTCCCTTTTGTATGTATAGGTTCTATCCTGATTGAATACAATTCCATTCTGAATTCTATTTTGTTCCTCAGTTCCAAAATCCTGAGGGCTGCCAACCCCCCAAAACCATCCAACTGTCCGTGTTTACAGCTGTTTATCTCCCAATTTAAACTAAACTCTCCGGTCTGCCACCTTCAGAAGGCGGGACAAGCCCTAGGGATGATCGCAAAGCTTCTTGGTCCCTGGGCGAGGGTGAAGTGCCTGAGAAGGGGGCAAAGGGGGTTCGTGGCCCCCAGGGGACCCCCTCTGGACACCTGAAAAAGGAGGGAAGCCTCCCCACACGGACTCTGAGGACACCAACCTCGTCTCGGTGCTTCTGGCAAAAGACCAAGAACTGGGGGACTCCGTCGCTTTTCCGGCCGCGGGGGGCGTAGGGAATGGCCTTCTTCCGACCGAAAGCCGCCCCCCCTGCGCCTCCTCTCTCCTCCGGGCTTCTTTCGGGAGGGGCGAAGCCTTCCAATTCGCTCGGGCAAAGCGACTTGGTCCTTCTCCCTCTTTTGGCTGGGACGTCGTGTTCTTTGCTGGATTTCAGAGTCTGAGAAAGATCTTCGTCCGAATAAATTTTATCCATCTCTTCCAAGGACCTCACCACGAGTCCAGCCTCCTTTGCCACCTGGGGGTTGAGGACCGGCCTGCCCCTGACGTAAATGAAGGTGTACTTCGCCTTCCTCTCCTCCGTGGGCATGGAGAAGGCGTCTTTGGCCTGCTTGACCCCCATCTCCCACTGGGGACGCAGCTTCCCCGACAGCGGCTTCAGCAGCTGCAGGAAAAAGGCGGGGGGGGGGGGGGGGAAAAAAGGGGCCCTGGGGACCAAAAAAAAAAAAGGGTCCCCCCCCCCCCCCCCGTGAATCTTGGGAAAATAACAACAATAACAACAATAATGAATACTAATATTAACACTGATAATATCTAGAACGCCATAACCAAGTTGCTAAAATCACTGGATACCGTGCCCAAAGTTTGGATTTGAGTATAGTAACAACTACTGGGACCATCAGGTTGAGAAGGTTCTGGAGAATGAAAAGGTCAAGATCTTGTGGGACTTCGGAATTCAGACGGACAGGCACTTGGCCCACAACACGCCTGACGTAACGATGGTTGAGAAGAAAAAGGGCTGGTTCATTGACATCGCAATACCTGCTGATGCACAAATTGTAGATACGCAGCAAGGAAAAAATCACAAAGTATCGGGACTTACAAATTGAAGTTGAGCGACTTTGGAAAAAGAAATCTTGTGTTATCCCAATTGTGATTGGAGCCCTTGGAGCAATACCTAAAGGGCTGCCTCACTATTTTGGAAATCCTGAATTTATACCCCGATTCTACAAAAAGCCACCCTGCTTGGAACAGCTTATATCCTCCGACGCTACCTGAGCAACTCCTAGGTCCTTGGTTAGGACTCGAGTTGTTGAGCTACCAACCAGCCCCAAAGGCTGTGAATCTCACTAAAGATTAAACAGTGATGATGATGATGATGATGATGATTTCCTCCCTTCGAGATCAAGGCATAACAAAAGCGCTACTGGGAAGCAGGTGAAGCAGCAGCCCAACGATGACCAAGCCCAAAGCAGCACCCAGGAAGGTTACCTTGATCTTCTCGGCTTTGCTAATGGAATGCTTGGCACTTTCCTGGCACAGCTGCTCAAACTGCTCCCCTCCTTTGAAGGCGACCAGGCTTTTTTCAAACACCCAGGCTCGTTCCGGCGCATCCCCAAAAAACTGCACGTGATACTGGCGAAAACTCTTCTTCTGCCCTGAAAATAAGAGAGAAATCAGAGCCTTAGCCCAAGGGAGCCTCATGCAAAGGATGAAACAGCACCTGGCTGTATGAAGTGAAACATTCTCCCCCTGTTTTGCTGCTGAGTTTAATACCAGCCTGGCCTCCGAGTCACGGGTGGGCTTCTCTGTCCTTGGTGACAGCGCCAGGACGGAAGCTGCATTTGGAGAGCTGACCTCCAACCATTGGAAGAACAACCCGACTGAGAAAGACAGAGAATGGCTCCACCTCACATGGCAGAGCGTAAACACCCTCGGCTAAAAACATTTGAATGTGCAGAAATGAATAGACTGACATTAGAAATGAAAGAAAAAGAAGAATCTGAATATTACGTGGTATGGGACTTGTTTTATAAATGGCTAGAAAATGAAATTAATTGAAAGGGATTAGACATAATTATAAAGCTATAAGAGAAACTAGTGTAATAGATATACTGAATATTACTTATATTATATATATGAGAATGTACTGTATATAATATAAGTAACATATTACTTATATATATGGGAACATAGCCAGCAAAAACACGTCCATTTGAGAGAATGGACTTGCTCAACAACGGTGTTTCACGCCTGCTGTAAACATGGTTGGAAGATGAGGCCCGTTTGTATGGGTGCCTCAACTTATGACCACGACAACAGATGGCTGAAACTCCGGTGCCAGTGGTGACTGTTACTCGAGGATCCACACTCTTCCCTGCCTCCTTAAAGCCAATGCAAACGCTTGAAGTAAAGGATTCTGCGTTGGATTTCCCTCTGTGGGCGACCGCCTGAAACCAGGAGCGGCCTAAGAGCAAGATGCCCCCCCCCCCACCTCCTCTGCCCTCCTTCCCTCCTCCCGCAAAGGACCTACCGTTGAGCTTGGTGAAGCTATGGAGAAGAGGGTCGGTGGAGATCATGCAGGGCCACCACGGGTAGCCGGACACCTTGGACCAGACCACGTCTCCCACGCTGTACTTCAGCAGCTGCACCGTGTCCTCCTTCCCAGGCACCAGAGAAGAATCTTCCTCATCTTCTTCTTCAGCAGAGATCTTGAGGGAAAGGAAACACACCCACGCTCTAGCAAGGAGAACACTTTTACAGCCAAATAAACACAAAACTCCGTGGCTTATTGTTAAGACCAGCGTTACGGGTTCCAGTCTTAACTAAGAGCCCTGGTGGTGCAATGGTTCAAGTGCAGCATTGCAGGCTAAACTCTGCCCACTGCCAGTTCGATCCTGACCAGCTCCAGGTTGACTTAGCCTTCCGTCCTTCCTTCCAAGGTGGATCAAACGGGGACCCAGACTGTTGGGGGTCAAGATGCTGACTCTCTGAAGTGCTTAGAGGGGGCTGGAAAGCACTGGGAAGCGGCATTTACGTCTAAGGGCTATTGATATCTTCCTTCCTTCCTGTTAGAATGCCGTCTTGCAGGTTAACTCTGCCCACTCTTTAGAGTTCGATTCTGACCAGCTCGAGGTTGACTCAGCCTTCCGTCCGGGTAAAATGAGGACCTGGATTGTTGGGGGGCCAGAGGCGGACTCTGTAAACTGCTTAGAGAGGGCTGTGAAACACGGTGAAGTGGAATTTAAGTCTAAGGGCTATTGCTATAGTGCTATTTCCAACCTGAATGTATACAACAAGGGTCTCCAAACTTGGCAAGTTTAAGACGTGTGGACTTCAACTCCCAGAATTCCTGAGCTAACATGACTGGAGGAGGAGGAATTCTGGGAGTTGAAGTCCACACATCTTAAAGCTGCCACATTTGAAGACCCCTGGTATACAACATTCTAGTAGTTTGGAGGCACTTTGGGCTGTTAGGAGAAACAGGTTAGAAAGGCAGCCAAGGTTTCGCTTCTGGTGCTTTGTGAAATCCTCTGAAAAGGGAAAAGGATTGCTCTTTAGGAATGAAAAGGTAGCATACAGGTAGACCTCGGCTTCCGAGCATTCACTTAGTGGCCATTTGAAGGTGCCATGGCACTGAAAAAAGCAACCCATGGCTGTTTCCCCCATGCCCACGGTCACATGACAACCGATGGGAAGTCAGGTTCACTTAACGGCCATGTTATTAACCTAGCAACTGCGGTTATTCACTTAATCCTTGCGGCAAGAACGGTCATAAAAATGAGGCAAAACTCACTTAACAACGATCTTGCTCAGCAACGGAAGTTTTGGGTTCAATTGTGGTTCTGTAAGTCAACGCCTACCTGGGCATCTGAAGAAGAGAGCTTCTTTGTTCGGCTTCTGCGGGGAACTATGGGCCTGGGGTCAGCAATACGGAACGTGCTGCGTTGTTGCTTCAGATGCCAGGGACTTCCAAGGCTTGAAATGAGCCAATTCCTCCTCAGGAAGCGGGAAGCCCGGGCCTGGCGAGGCGCACCTGAAGCCCTCCTGGAGACGGACCGTGTTCAGGAGGGCCCAGTAGCTGCCAGGAGAGTGGCCCCAGAGAGTCAGGGGAATTGGGGGGCGGGGAAGCTCGGAGGGACCCATAACGGGGTCCAGGACTGGGCTCCACTGCCCTGTGAAACTGGGCCTGACTGGGAAGCAATGCATGGACAAGCCGTAACGATCCTGAACAAGCAGGGGCCTTCTCAAGAGGCGTCTTCCAAACGGAGGGGTGTGGTGTGCATTTTTTGTGAAATCTGCCAAGCTGCTTCAGAGTTGTTTCCATCAAAGAAACTGAACGGTCAGCACCACAGCAAAAGCTACCCGGAAACCACGTACACATTGCTACGTTTCAACGTGGGAAACTACAAGACCCGCTGACTAAATCTGACTTTCCTCTCACAAGGATTTTACAAGCAGCAGTGGGTTTACCTGCGACCTGTTCCCTGTGCGTTGCGTTCAGGACCATTTCCAGCCCCTGAATACAAGGACGCCCTGAAGGCAAACCCATCCCAACAAGCCCAAATCAAAGGCCTCACTTCCTAGAGCGCCTCTTGGAGGTCCCTCGTGTCACTTATCATCGAAGTTGGGCTGCACTCAATGGTGCCCATGGCTAGTCTAGGGAAGAGAAGGACCAGGGAGACAGGATAATAGTCTTCCAATATTTGAGGGGCTGCCACAGAATGGAGGGGGTCAAGCTATTGTGTAGCCGCCGCCAAAAAAGCCCATGCAATCCTAAGTTGCATCAACAGAGGGATACAATCGAGATCAAGGGAGGTACTAATACTACTCTGTAAAGCCTTAGTAAGACCACACCTAGAGTACTACATCCAGTTTTGGTCACCACACTATAAACAAGAGGTTGAGACTCTAGAAAGAGTGCAGAGAAGAGCAACCAGGATGATTAGGGGACTGGAGACTAAAACATATGATGAACAGTTGCAGGAACCGGGCCTGGCTAGTCAAGGGAAGAGAAGGACCAGGGGAGACAGGAGAGCAGCCTTCCAGTATTCGAGGGGCTGCCCCAGAGAGGAGGAGGGGGGGGGGTGTCAAGTTGTTTTCTAAAGCACCTGAAGGCCAAACAAGGAACATTTGAGAGGGGCCCTGGCAGAGAATTTCTGGAGAAAGGCACAAGGAGCTCAGAACCCACTTTCACACAAAACCAAAGCCCTATTTTTGTCTACGGAGATTCTCAGCCACGGTTGTTCCAAAAGGAAGCTGGACTTTCTTGGCTCAGTCGAGACCCAAAAAAGCCCAGTTGCATTTCCTAAAAAGCACCTCCGGGATCAAAAGCCCTACTTGGATCAAAATCTCAAGAGGACAGTCTCAACCTCAGGGGGCAGCCGAGGAACCGTCTGCTCCGTCCTACATTGGAGCTACTCTAAACTTGAAAATACATCGAACACCCCCACCCCCACCCCAATCCATGGAGGGAAATGCTGGGAATTCTAACTGGTTCCTGTCCTGAACAGAGATAGAGAAGACAAAGGTAGCTACAATCGGAATAGAGCTGGAAGGGTCCTCGGAGGTCCTCTAGTCCAACCCCCTGCCGAAGCAGGAGACCTTATACAATTTGAGACAAGCGGCTGTCCAGTCTCTTCTTTAAAATCTCCGGTGATGGAGCATCCACAACTTCTGAAGGCAACTTCCACTCAACTGATTCAGGAGAACATCATTCTGCAGGGACAAGCCATTCCGTGAATTTCGGCTTTTAACACACCCAGTGATGGTAATTGGGGGGGCGGGGGGGGGGGCGAATCCACCCCTTCATAAGACAAAAGCAATGCACGGACTCAGGTTTACGATCATACTAGCTCGATACCCGTCCTTCGCTACGAAACGAGGTGGTCGGGCTTAGTTTTTGGGGAGGAAAAGAAAGAAAAGTCTGCCTCTGCCTCCCAGCATCCATCGGTATTCACCTGACTAGCGTCCTGTCAGTGTGTGAGACAGTTGAGGGCTGTTTGGAAACTGAAAGAGTATTTGCTGGTTGAGCAAGGAGACGGCAAGGAGCCTGGGCGTGGCTTAGCTCAACTGTTCTGCACTAAAGCTGCTTGCTGCTCTGAAAGTGAAAGTGAAACTCCTTTCCTCTGCTTGCTTTTTGCCTTTGGAAGAGATTTCTTTTTTTCAGGTGGGGAGGGGGAGTAGAACTCCTTAGCATCAGAGCATGTTATATATTATATGTTATTATATGTTATTAGGAAATACTAATGCTCCGGTGGTCATTTCAAAAAATTCTCAGTGAGCCCCTAGAAGCCAAGAGGAAGATACGTGCCGAATTTGAAGTTTGTAGGCTTTACGGTTCTGGAGATTTTGTGATGATGCGTGAAGGGTAGTTTGCTTCTATATATATAGAATTCTGCATGTTTAATATTACGCATCCTCATGTATTTAATACTGTATAAGCCATGCATTCAATCAGAGCTATTGACTGATTCCTTGTCTATGTAAACCAGACTTAGCCAAGCACAGCTTTCGTTATCTCTGACCACACCAGGCAAGGGTGGCGGGGCCTGGCATCACTTGTGGCTCAAACTGGGACATGGAAGGCAGCCTCTCCAGGACATCCAGATGAGCTGCTCCCAGGGTGGATAGAAATTGATGATTTTGTTTAAAAAAAAAATGGATTTTTAAAAATTTAAATTGGATTTTTTTTTATTTTTATCAAATTTATTTTAATAAAATGCTTTTGGAATAAAAATCTATCTAAGGATAGTTTTCTATTTAAGATACGTTAATAATTTAGTTTATTCAGCATGAAACGTAGCGTGAGGCTGTGCATATTCTGCAATATTTGCATTTTTGGTCAACTCATTCAATGAATCCAAGCTCTGCAAGCTGAGATAACAAGCCCTGCATCGATGCATTCACGCAATTTCGCAGCAGAGATGACGATTGCTCTTTAAAAATTATGATTCAAATCAAGCTGATTTAAATCAAGCCTTTTTACAGTGATTTAAATCATGATTTAAATTGAGCTGATTGAAATCGAGTCCTCCCTGGCTGGCTACTCCAGCTCTTCCTTCCATTTGTTCGGCTCCACCGTGTCCTTTCACGCTTTCTAGTGCCCTGCCTGCCACCTAAGCTCACCAGCACTCTGTAGCCACCCAAGCTGAACTCAAGGATGTCTTTACATTCTCAGAAACCCTGGACCTATTCAAAGTCTATCAAATTCAAAATCTATCAAAGATTCCTTGGACCGAAGGTCTTAAGACCTGGATTTCAAACAAGCCACAAATTCTGGTCCCCCCCAACAATGGTCAGAGGGGGAAAACAAGGGTACCTTTTCGTCAGAGGAACCGGACGAACTGGACAGCAACGCTGCCTCCACGAAACCGCCTCGCTCCAGCAGGGAGTCGTATTTGATGCTCCTTTTCCTACTTCTCTTCTCCTTGCTTCCCAGATTTGGCTCCGCCTGGGTGACCCCCAGCACGCTGTCGCCACAAATGGAGGACTCAAAGAGGGGCTTCCCGTTCATGTATGTTTTAGTGATTTTCAGTTTAATTTCCGGCGAGCCGTTCTTGGCCGGCGTAGTGTTGGGGGGCGTGGCGGCTTCCCGGAGGTCCTGAGACTCGAAGCGCAGCTTGGCGTCCGGTGTCCCCGACTCCCCGTTGAAGACGCGGCAGGTGAGATCCTGGAGCTTCTCCACGGGGATGAAGGGCAGGGCATCGCGGCCGTTGTATTTTGCCTTGACGTCGTCCTGTAGTGTGGCGGAAAGGTGGCTCTTGCCCAGGTAAACAGAACACTCCCGGTTCACTTCGCAGCCGGGGGGCTTTCCGGGGGGGCTCCCCAGGATCTCGGGGACGGGTTTCATTTTGATGTGATTGGCACCTTTCTTGGGAAGCAACAGCGAGTTACTTTTGAAATCCATCGCAGAGGTTTCCAGTTTATTGATATTTCTGCATAAATAAAGGAATAAAGCACAAAACCGTCTTATTAGTTCTGGAGGATGGCTACTGAGCGTGTTTGGGGAGCCCAATATCACCAAAATAGGCTACCAAAACAATATAAACCAAACCCAACATTTGAGACAGATTCGGTGCTTGTAGCTCCTAAGATAAAATATTCACATTCCCTACTTTTAAAAACCACACTGAATTCTCCTAGCTAATTCTCAGAAGGAGACCAGGAGGCACTTTGAAAGAAAGTAAGTACTAATGTTTTGCTCTTCTGCAGCCTCACAAATAAAAGAACGAGCAGAGGAGGAAGGTATTATTTTGAGCTGTTTTCTTGGAATTTTATTTTATTCCTATTCTGCCTGGGCAGAGGGGGAAGAATACCGACTCATGCCAACCAGGCATTATTGTGGCTGGACAACTTCGCAGGAGGTGTTAAAACAAAGCCCATTAAGAAATACAGGAAAGAATCTAAGGCCTATAAAAATACAGGAGCTAAAGGACGATTACTAATAACAAGGCTCCATCTCAATCCATCCAAGGCACAAAAAAGGCTACAAATAAACAAGAGGCAGATCTTGACAGGAAATTAAAGGATGTGGGATAGAAATGACTCATGCGTTTTCTCTCGTGCAAAAGCTACAAAAGTGCCAGTTGCAAACTAGCATCGGACTCAGCAACTGCTAGGATGTGGAGACCGGGCCGCCTGGTTAAAAGAGATGCCTCCCGGGTCTTCCACCCGCTTCGCAAGGGAAAAAACAACAACCTCTGAGAAATCTTCATCCTAAGGAAGTGATTTACAAGAGGTTCTTCGGGATAAAATGACAAAGGCAAATGGAAAAGATGCAAGTGCAGAACGACTGAGCGACGGCTTCCATTTGGAATGTTGTGCGGATAGGCCTCGAGTTATGACTGGTTGGCGACACATCAAGTGAGTCACATGATGGACTTACAGCTTGATACACAAGCATAAGGGGCAGATCTGCATTAGGTCGAATGTGGAGGTGGTGCAGAATCCAGCATTGCAGGCAAACTCTGCCCACTGCCAGGAGTTCAATCCCGACCGGCTCCAAGTTTGACTCAGCCTTCCGAACTGGGTCAAATGAGGGCCCAGACTGTTGGAGGCAAGACACTGGGGCTCTGTAAACCGCTAAGAGAGGGCTGTGAAGCACTGCAAAGCGGTATATAAGTCTAAGTGCTATTGCTACTACCGTGTTTCTCATATAATAAGGCCGGGTCTTATTTTTTTTTGAGCCCCGAAAAAATGGCTAGGCTGTCTTTTCGGAGGTGACTTAATTCCCCCCCCTTGCATCTTTGGGCGGGCGGGCAGCGACGGCTTGGATGTTGACCTCGGCGTTGGTGGGGCACCGTATCGGGGTCAACGCAGGCAGCACCATATCCAGGTGTGCAACAAAAGTACTTCCTAACGGCAAGCCCCCCCACCATTTCGCATGTTTTAATATAGGCCTTAATTTGGGGGGAGGGGCTTAATTTCATTTCATGCCTATAAAACATGCTGGGACTTCCTATTGGGGGAGGTCATATTGTTGGAGAAACAGGGTATCTGTCATTGATAAATGCAATAAATGTCAGCTCGGGACTGAAAAGCATGGAAGCTGAACTTAAATTCTTTTTTTAATTTGTGAAAAGGCTCCCGTTGAATCCTTCCCTTAGTCTGTTTATCTCTACAAGGTGACCTCCCAGCATCAAAAGCAGAACGCCCGAGAATATTTATAACAAGAGAGGGTAATCAGGGGGTGGCCGTGCGAAGGAGCGTCGGCCAAGGGCTCTTCCTCCCGCCTCCCTCTGGGGCTTGCTGGATGGAGGCAGAGGGACGCCGTGGGTTGGAGCAGAAAGTAGGGCACCAGACGAGCAGGGCTGCCTACGGAGAGCAAAGGGAGAGACACCAACCACGAGAGATTTGGGTACGAATGTGTTTAAATTCATACAACACCATCAGCTAAGCATGTATGGCAGGTCGCCCAAACAGAAGGAAAGCTTGCAAATATCCCAACAATGTTCAGACATGCCCACAAGCTTAAATAACACAAATAAGCACACATTTCTGAACGTGCAAATCCCCCCCAAACGGTCTCCCCAGATGAATTACCAACATCGGAAACATGATCACGGCAGCAGAAGAACCCTTGAATTGGAAATATGTGTACAAAGTCAAATAAAAATAATAATAACCCTAGCATGCAACTGTGATATTCTCTCGGTGTGTGATGTCTATGTACATGCATCATTTTGTACCTAGATTTACTAACAGGACATAACATGGAATTATATTGTTCTGCTGAGCTGCAACAGCTACATGCTGGAAAAGAAGAAAGGCAACTGCCTGAAAATCTTGACAAAGACACCTTGACCTGTCTTGACACACAGGCTCCCATTCTGTGGTATATTTATAGTAATTAAGGTTGATCTAACAAAGTAGAAGTTAGGAAACGATTTAAACATTTATCTTTCAGCTATGCAATAGATCAAGTTCACCCTTCCCGTTTAAAAATACAGCTTTGCATTTGTTTACTTCCCATGGAAAGGTTTTATTTTTATAAAGTTCCAAGCTTCCAATGTTTTTTTTTAAATAATACCGATGTTCACATGGGGATGCAATGAGCCATGATCTCTGCTTTCAGGATCCAAGTTCTGAAATTCCATCCAGCAGCTCACTGTGCACCCCCAACGATCACCGGTCCTCATCAGGTAACCAGATCAATCCTTGTCATAAATCAGAAGAGGGCAACTGGTAGGCCCAGAACCTCTTTATGGGGATTCCACAGCTCTTTTGGAATACTAAATATTCCAAATATTTGGAATATGTATGGAATATATATGGATAGCAAATTTGGAATACGCTATCCAAATCTGATGGTCGAAAACCTCTGGTGTAATTATCTTACGACTGAAACAAGAAACTCACAGAAAACATCCTAAGTCCTAGAAGCATACAAAAATGCACAGCGAGGCGGGGGGGAAACCCTACAAAATGGCAGACCCTCCAAGAGCAAGCCATTCATGAAGACCTCAGAAGGACCCCAAGAATCTCACCCTGCAATCGTTTTCACAATCCTACTTTTCAAGAAATAAATTGTGTGTATACAGACCGGGTCTGCAAGGTAAACAGAAACATCTACCTAAAACTTAGGCTGTTGCAGCAAAAGCCCCTACAAACTTAACAGAGAAGATGGGAACCAAGAAACCAAAGCATAGACTTTAGCTTTAGAGTTTAATTTAGTTGTTTCCAAATTAGCCTAATAAAAATGGGCAGAGATTTGCTGTAATAATGGGGTAAGCCCAACTTCACAAATGAAATTGCTCATTTTTCGATTTAGTTGTAACGGTACATTGTTGTAAGTTCAGGACTGAAAACCGTGGAAGCTGAACTTAATTTTGTTTTTTTAATTTGTGAAAAGGCTCCTGTCGAACCTGGTAGCTTGACTGAAGGTTGAGTCTGTTTCAAAGAATGCCACATCGCTAACAATTATCCCATTCATTCCGCTCACAGATGGACCACCTCTTCAGATCTCTTTTAATATATAAAGAGCCGCGTCTCCTTTGATTGCAAGCTAGACCCAAACAATTGAAGTTCATCTGCAGAGTGATTTTTTTCATTTGAAATCCAGGAATTAGTGCTCCAGGGTTGCCTTTTAAGGACAGGAAGCTGAAATGTAAAATATAAAGCTGTGTTTTCTAATTGTTGCAGCTACTGAATAGGTGGATATACCCCAGACTTCTAAGCTACGGCCATGTTGACTGGAGAATTAAGCCATGAAACGCTAATCTAAACCGTTTCAAAGAACAATGCAACATGCAATTATGGGGGGTTTGCTGTTTTTTAAATTAGAGGTTCTAGGTTACCTGGATCCAATTACAACTCCTACTGTTGTTGATGATAACTTATCCATAGGCTACTAACACTTCCCCAGAGCTTCTAGAGGCAGATCTGGGCATCACGGGGTAAAATGCTTTGACCTGAGGGGCCTCAAAGAGGTTGACTTTCAGAATGGGTCCAATATCTAGGACCCATAAACTCCTGTGAAGTTGAAATCTGGCTGGTTTTATTAAACGTTATAACATAAACACGATAATAAAACAGCTCATGATCATCATACACAATATCATTAAAAACATTTCCTGCGCTGATGTTTGACTGGGCTTTACAGGGTCAACATGAGCTTCTTTCAAGGCAGACAACTCTATGGATCTACTCCAAAGCTGGACATTAGAAGCCCTGTTAATGTTTGTAACCGTTGAGGAAACTGGAAGGAAGTTATTTCTGAAACGGTAAGCCAAAGAGCCACAGGTCATCTAGCTAAAACTATATATTTGCACCAAAGACAAATTCCGTGTCCAATCACAAAGAATTCTATTCTATTTCTATTCCATTCTAACTCACGTTTCCATGCAATCAGGGTGAGAACAGCCACTGAACCCAACTCACTGCTTAGTACAGAATCCAAATTCAAGGGTCCCACCCAAATGGCTATCCAGGGTCTGCATATACCCAAAGAAAATGAAGCCCAACATCTCTCTTGCAAAGTGGGTTCCATAACTGAAGCCGAGCGTTCCGTAATATTTCACTGAAACCTGCTTCCCCGTAACTTCAAAGCAAGCTCTGAGGCCCTACAATAAGAGTTCTGACCAACTTCTTGCAATATCTTTTCTGGTATAGGAAGAGTGTTGTAATATCCCAAGTGAACAGGCCCAACCCCTTCAATGTCTCTCCGTATGACTTAATTTCTCGTCCTCCTCAGAGCTTATTTGTTCTGCTAAATCCTTCAAGGCGATGCTTAGGGATAGACGAAATACTCAAGGGAAACATTGATCAGTGGAAAATATACTTATTCCCCATTATTTCTACTCTTGAACCCTAACATGGCCAAAATAGACCGGGCGTGGAGGAAGAAAGCAAAGGTGGGGCCAGATAGATGGTTGGAAGAATGAGATCCTAACCACCACAACTGGCATC